CAATTAAAACAGAGCATTTACTCAAATAAGTCGTATCCATTAAAATAAACTCTAAACAGAAAATATATTATAATATTTAAGTCTGTAAGAATTTATTTAGTTAGGGGATAGGTAAATACATAATGAACATGTAAGAATCTATTTGGTTAGGAGATAGGTAAATACTGTTCGTATATATATATATATACCAGCAGCATGCCCCGGCGTAGCCAGTGCGTGATTCAAAAATCGTACCACTCATACAGCAATTGCTATCACTTGACTTAAAATATTTTTGCCCTTCCTTGCCTTTAAAGGAGTGCTCTTTGCCGTGCTGATGTTGCTAAATGCCTTACTTCTTGCTTATCTCACACTGCGAATTTTTTCTAAGCTCTATACTAAACATTAAATCTGTTACGAAAAAAGAACTAAACAAGATGAACACAAAACGATCAGCTTTAAAAAAGGACTCGTAACTGGAAAAACAGAATGAAAAAACAATGTTAAAAACAAATACTTTTTCACGCCCAACCCAGTTCTGCGGAATCAGAATCAACGTTGAGTTTAAGCAAGCGAATGAGCCAATTGGAGTAAAGTGCCATGCAGATTGAAATTTTCCCCACTTGTGACGAATGCAGCTATCGATTTTTTTTGGATGCTAGGATGCTAGTTAACATTCGTGTTAGTCAGCTGTTGCCTCTCACGCTGGCCAATAGTATCTTCCTGCCTATTCGTGGCAGCCAGCTATAGGCTGTCACTCTTGCCAGTAGAAAATGGCCGTAAACTACATGAAAAGTGCCGTAGAAGCATGAAAAAATCGATTATTTCCACTCTCGATGAGAGTCGGGAAATGCAAAGTCGGTTTTGGCCTTTCCGCTAACTTGTGCATGTAAATATTGGTGCAAATCTGTCGAAAATTGCGGCCGTGCATTCGTCACACACACACACACACACACACACACACACACACACACACACACACACACACACATCCTGCCTTTTACAGATAGAGATATGTAAGAATCTATTTGGTTAGGAAATAGGTAAATACTGGTCGTATATACAGGGTGCTTAAGGTAATTGAAGACTTACCTCTTATTGCTTCATTTTACTTAAAAATAATTTTCGGAAAATAATATGGCATTAAATAAAAAGGCATGCTGTAATTGTGATCTTAAAAGCTGAGGCTGGCGATTTAGAGGTATATCGATTTTTTAAAGTCACCAGATCTTTCGTCTACTGAGTTCGTACGGAGTTAGAGACAAAAGATGGAAACGTAATACCATTATCAAAGCATCGAAAGCATTCCAAACACTCTGGCATCATCAGAACACCAGAATGTTATAGACTCTGATGCCTGTATTGAGCTCCTGGAAACAGTTGTTAAGCCCTGGATCGACACTGTACATAATAGAAGGCCTTAAACGTCTCATCAAGACTGCACCATCACGTAAAGCTCATGGATGGGCGAAAGTTTTCATGATCACATAATCCCTAACATTTGGCCTCTATTGTATTACTACGCGTTGAGCGTTATTGAGAGTGAAGTCAAGGAACATCCCCCATATTACCAACGATTCTTTGAAAGCCGACATAGTCAGAGTAATGAACCAAGGCCACTTAATTCGAGCTTCTAGACGATTTTCAACCTCGTTATTGAAGCTGAACGTGGCTTTATTGAATAAAATGATACAAACGATAACGCATTTGTATGCTTATAAATTTTCTCAGTAATAAAATTATTATCTGTTATTATATATCTGCTTTTTTCTTACCTGTAAACATAAATCTAACCTTAAATACCTGCATTTAAGGATTTAATTGGTTTGGGCAAATATTGGTTGTATGTATTTAAGTCTATAAACATTTATTTGGTTAGCGGAGTTGTAAGTATTTGTTTATATTCGATTCTGTGAGCATTTGGTTCGGTGATAAGTAAATATTGGTCGATTATAATTGAGTCTATAAGCATTTGGTTTTGGTTTGGGTGTAGATAAATACTTGCCGTATATATTTGAATTCGTCAGAAATTATTTCCTTGAGGGATAGGTAAATATTGGGGGGGGGTTTATATTTGAGCATGGAAGAAGGTATTTGGTTTGGGGATAGGCAAATATTGGTCGTTTATATTTGGGCGAAAGAACTCTGAGTCAACGGCTAGCTAACTAGAGGTGGTGTCTCCATAAACCATTGTGGGGAAGCCAGCGGGAAACAAATATTAATCCAAAGATATATCATCGCTAATAATAACGCCAAGATGAAACCTAACGGCGTGAAGTGGGTTAAGTCCATGGGAATTAACTTCTCGCTCGGTAATTACAGACATGCGCAGCAAGTGTCACCTAACCGTCATCCAGCGACTGCTAGCATAAACGGCGTAAAGGGAATAAAATTCTTTGGGACGAAGATTGGAATAATCAAAAACCTATACTAGCAGCAAATGGCCTGCATATGGATAGAAAATGAGACCACTAGACAAATATAGAAAGACAATATATAGTAAGACAAGGATGTTATTCCGGACTTATTTAACGTATACAGCGAGAGAACTAGAAGTCCTACCAGGATTCATTATTGCCGGCCATATTCTTAAGAACATGAAGTGTTGATAGCAAACACAAAAATTAGACTACAAAAATTCCTATTGAAGGGAGTGAAAGAAAGCAAGAAGAAAGGACTAAACGTCAACTGAAAAAGGACAGAATGCTTGGTTGTTAGCAAAAGGATGAGCCCAAAGTGCGAATTTCAAATCGGAGATACCAAACTCAAACAAGGGTGGAAATTTAAATATCTGGGAAGTGTTTTGAACAGAGGACAGTGTCACCAAAATCCGGAGGCGTATTGGCAGAGCGAAAGATGCCTTCCAAAAGCTAAGCAGAGTATTAAGAAATAGGAAAATTTCTCTACAAACAAGGAAGAGAGGAGTACTAAACTCGTACGTGATATGTGTCCTCCTGTGTGTCAGTGAGTACTGGACGATCTCTTCAAAGATAAAGTGTGATTCTACAGAAGGATGCTGAGGACACCCTTGCCCAAACATATGAGCAATGACAAAATTTTAAAGAAAAAGGAAATTTATAATTAACACCAGGAAGAGGCAGTTGAGGTGTCTGGGGCATATAATGAGGAAAGAAGGCTTGGAAAATCTGATACTCACGGGACAGATAGAGGGCAAGAGGGGCAGAGGAAAATAACGGATAACATAATGAGCTTGAATAAATGGATGTCGGAACAGGGTCAAGGAGAAATAACAGAAAGAAAGTTTATTAAGAGCTATAAGGGACAGGAAGTTGTAGAGAGCTATGATCGCATAAAGGTAAGTGAGAATAGAGGATCAAACAGTAACTGCAAGAAGACAGAATTCATGGTTGTTAGTAAAAGGATGAGCCCAAAGTGTGAGTCGGAGATACCAAAATCAAACAAGTGCGGAAATATATATATCTGGGAAGGGTTTTGAACAGAGGACGGAAAGTGTGACACCGAAATCCGAAGGTATATATAGCATTCCAAAAGCGAAGCAGAGTACTAACAAGCAGAAGTCAAAAAAAAAAAAAAACTTCGCTAGACACAAAGAAAAGAGTACTAAACTGCTACGTGATATCTGTTCTCCTGTATAACAGTGAGTGCTGGATAATCTCCTCAAAGATGAAGAGAAGACTTGAAGTAACAAAAATCTAGTTCTACAGAGAGGATGCTGAGGATAACGTGGACCGAACATGTGAGCAACGACGAAGTTTTGGAGAAAATGGAAACAAAAAAGAAACTAACACTTAACATCAGGAAGAGAGAGTTAAGATTTTTGGGGCACATGATAAGAAAGAAGGCTTGGAAAATCTAATACGCACGGGACAATTAGAGGCGAGAGGGACAGAGGAAAACGATTCTCCATCAAGGACTATGGGAAGCTCTTTTTTTAATTTGGTATTGGCGGCCACAATCTTACCAACTTAAGGTATGCAGATGACACAATGTTTGCAGACACGGAAAGAAAACTATAAAAACTCCTAAAAAAGTTTGTGGAGGAAAGCAAGAAGAAAGGACTAAATGTCAACTGAAAAAAGACAGAATGCTTGGTTGTTAGCAAAAGGATGAACCCAAAGTGTGAATTGCAAATCGGAGATACCAAACTCAAACAAGTGCGGAAATTTAAATATCTGGGAAGTTTTTTTGAACAGAGGAAAGAGAGAGTGACACTGAGATCTTGGAGCGTATTGGGATAGCCAAAGAAGCATTCCAAAAGCTAAGCAGAGTATTAAGAAATAGGAAAATTTCGCTAGAAACAAAGAAAAGAGTACTAAACAGCTACGTGATATCTGTCCTCTTCTATCGCAGCGAATGCTGGACGATTCCCTCAAAGATGAATAGGAGACTTGTAGCAAAAGAAATGTGGTTCTACAGAAGCATGCTGAGGATACCCTGGACCGAACATGTGAGCAACGACGAAGTTTTGGAAAAAAATGGAAACAAAAAGGAAACTTATATTTATCATCAGAAAGAGTCAGCTGAGGTCTCTGGGAAACATAATGAGGAAAGGCGGCTTGGAAAATCTGATACTCACAGGACAGAGAGAGAGGGCAAGAGGGACAGAGGAAAAAACTCACGGCATACTTCGTGAGCTTGACTAAATAGATGGCGGAACAAAGCTTAAGAGTAATATCAGAATGACAAATTTTATTAAGACCTAAAAGGGACATGAAGTTGTGGAGAGACATGATCTTCTAAGTCGGGATGAGACACGGCACATAGAAGAAGAAGAAGAAGAAGAAGAAGAAGAAGAAGAAGAAGAAGAAGAAGGAATAATACAGTCTTTTATTCGTACAAATTACTGGAAACGCTCTTCTCCTCTAATTCTTTCAGCATATGCAAATTGGCAGGCTATTTTAGGTAGCAGATGGAAGATATTAAAAGCCCTGTCAATATCTCATTTGAAAAATAGCGCTAAACCTGGGCCATAAAATCGATCGCGTCAAACTATCTCGAGATATAGGCGGGAAACATATCACTGGGCGGGAAACATACCAATGTTAGCGGCCAATATCGATTGTTTTGGAAATACAACTTTAAACTGTACTTGTGAATTCAGCCAGGCCTTCCAAATTCACGTCTATTTCTTTCTTCTCTATCTGTCGACTTGAATCAGAGGTAAGCCACATTTAACTTGTGAACTGACGCACAAGTGTATAGGCGCCTCTAACCTTAGTTCAGTCTGAAACGAGGTCCGTCGCAAGGGTTTTTAACCACGCTTAAATAATAAAAAAAAAACATGGTCGGTCTATCTATCTATCTATCTATCTATCTATCTATCTATCTATCTATCTCTTTCTAGATTTTTATCTTTCTCGTTCTCTCTCAAAACCTGTCTCTTTTACATTCTCTCTAACATTCTTTGCGGGAGTATTTCTCTTTATTTTTCTCCCTCATTATGTCTCTTATTATTTCTAGTTTGATAACCTTTGCAATTTTCCTTCTTCTTCTTCTCTCTCTCTCTCTCTCTCTCTCTCTCTATATATATATATATGTGTGTGTGTGTGTGTAAAAATATACAGAAAATAGGAAAGAACTCGTTAGGTAAATAATCCAAAGTTCTTTAGTATTTTTGTTATTATTTTTAAAAAAGCGCATCCAAATGTAAACAAATGACGTCACACATTATGAAATGGACAAAGTCCGACAATTATTTTAAGACATTTTTATGTTTATACATTCTTTGAGCGGATATGACTGTACGTTAGAGTTCATGGAAGTATGTAGTTTAAAAAGCAGTAAAATCGACCTTGCTAAACGAACGATCCTCTGTGGCTGAATCGGTTAAGGCACGTCAGGCTATATGACGATTCTGTATAGGATACGGGTTCGATTCCTGTCGGAGGACGAATATTTTCTATGAAAATTTCTCGGACTTTCAGGCCTGTAAATGTTATTAATACTGTTTATAATAAATTGACTTAAATATTTGTATCTATAAAAAGAATGTATAAAAATGTCTTAAAATAATTGTCGGAATTTGTCCATTTCATTATATATATATATATGGTTTGTGTTAGGGATATCTTATGACTATGGTGTTTGTGTTATATTAAATTTTATAACTAAATGGATTAGGTGAGTGAATAAGGACAAAGTTTATATTTTGGTGATTTCAAAAATTTAAGTCAGTGATACATTTCAAGTAATTAATGCAGAAAGATGCTTCTGAAAAAATATTTGAGGCGTGGAAGGTAGATTTCAAAGCTGTGTAAATTGATGAACTGAAGTTTGAGCACCTGTGTAGATAAACATACTTTTGTATTGTTGTATACAATAAAATTCAATTGTATTAGTATGCTATCATTTACTGACCACCTACTGTTGGTTTACATTTCATATATATATATATATATATATGTATTTGTGTATTTAGGCAGCAAATTATCTTTAACGCATATTAATTGAATAAATTACAAATATTATGTATGGTTATTTTTATCATAATTCTTTCATGTTCACGAATATTTTTCCGTATATCATAATTGTAATACACGGAAAAATATTCGTGAATATGAAAGGATTTTGATAAAAATAAGCAAAAATAATTTTAACAATTTATTCAATCAAATTATTATATATATATATATATATATATATATATATATATATATATATATATATATACCTTTCTGATCATAGCTCAATTAGATCTCATTTAAATATTCGTGGAGACCTACCGGACACTATTCGTAACATACTTGTTGACAACACAAATATAATAGCATTATCTACATGCAAAAAAAAAAAAGGCTAAAAATTGGAACAAAAATAAAAAAAACAAAACTTAATAATATTAACTACGAACATGGACACAATATCTTGACCGTGTTTTGAAAAATGAAAACATTATATAAAACATACATACAACAAACTATTTCTTATTTAACAGTTAAAATATTTAATTGTTGAAATGGCTAAATGTATAGCCGAAAGTGCTCAGATAAAAAGAACGTTCGGACAGTTTTTATATAATTTATCATCTGAAAAGAAAAATATGAGAAATTGTATAAAAACTAAATAAAAGCACCTAGTATGTCGTATTCAATGAAATGTGCATATATATATATATATATATATATATATATATATATATATATATATATATATATATATATATATGTGTGTGTGTGTGTGTGTGTGTGTGTGAGAGAGAAAATATATAAAAATAGGAAAGAACTCGTTAGGTAAATAATCCAAAGTTCTTTAGTATTTTTGTTATTATTTAAAAAAAAACAGTTCTCGATACAAAAGTAGATTCCCGCCAAAATTCGCTTGAAGATGGAACAGAGCTTGGAACTTTAATTTCAATTTAATTCAAATAATTATATTGAAGTTTTCGGCTCTTGTTTGGAAACATGAGAACTCTTATGTAGCTATGGAATCATATTTTTTAAATAAATAATATATATATATATATATATATATATATATATATATATATATATATATATATATATATATAACCATTACCATTGACAAAACTGTTTTATTGTGTTTTTCCCTTTCTCTAATATAATTTACAGAACTCCCCCTCTCTCTCTAGCATCATTACCAGAATTCTCTCTATCGTCCTCTAACACATTCTCTTTAGGGGTTTAAAATCCCTCATTCTCTTTTAGCAACCTTTCTAGAACTCTCTCTCTCTCTTTCTCTGTCCCGTTCTCCCTACATATACAACACCCTTTTCAGAAATCTCTCTCTTTCTCTCTCTCAAGTCTTTCAAGATATTTATATTTCTCACCCCCTCTCCCTCTCACTCACTGTTCGTCTCTATCTTTCTCACCTCCCGCCACAATCTCTCTCCCTCTCTCTCTGAAACACACTTTCATACATCAACTTTCACTAGATATCTCTGTCTTTCACCAGCACTTTCCATGACTAGCTTCTATCAAGGTTGATAATGGATGTAAGAGCTTCTTTTTTTTTATACAGTCACTACTGGCTGGTGGGGTACAGGCTATTGGCGCAGAAATTGAATTCAAAGAACCAAATTCAAATTACAGCTTTCTCTTCGAACTAATACCCTTGGGAAAGGTATAAACTCATTTTGTCCCTCTCGAAGTATGGGTTAATTAGCATGGTAGACCGAGCTCCATTACTCTGCGTGGCAGCCAGTCTGTGAGAAAGACAGCTCTGAATTATGAAGTGGAAAAATGCAGTGTTGCCTCAGGGGACAGGCGATCATGACTGTCCACAGATATATTTTCTTTATCTTCTTGGGAATTGGATCAGTTAGGATCTATTTAGTTTATGAGTTGAGGAAGTTAAGCAGAGGATAGTTTGTGCTAGGGTTAGTTTCCCACAATACCGCATGTTGCTACAAAACTAAAAGATTATCCTAAGAACAAGAGTTATGCTCGAAAATAGACTTAGCATATTTAAACACTCATACGGATGTCATATATGGCATAAAGATCATTCTGTTCAAAGTATCAAGTATATAAAACCTTTTTCTCAGATTCCTGATTAAAAATGGTTTCAAGCGAATGAATCATATAGGTCTTAATGAAAACAATCCGCCATCAGAACCTGTAGACTGGCGCTATAAGATCCCAAAGAGTTTTACGAAATAACAAAAACCACATCTCTTGAAAACTTCCAACAGCAGAAAGAATTAAACTGATAGCCTATGTAACTAAATGGGAAATAATATGACTAAAAAGTTTTTTTTATAATTATTTCATTCAAAACAAAGCAATAGAGCCACTAAGATGCAATGGATTCCGGAGAGTTAGAGAATATTAAAAAAAAAATCGCTATTAAGGAGAGAGATCAATAAAAGAATAGGAATTAAGAAAACAGAAGTTAATGATAGACACTGCATTTAAATGTTTGCAGATAAAATTTGACAGGAAAACCAGAAGTGGGAAGAGAGTTCCACAAGCGAGAAGTGCGAGAGAAGAATCTGTTAGTATAGAACTTATGGTTATATCTAGCTATTTCTACGGTAAAATAATGAGGCATTGCCGCCAATCTATCCCTACGCTTAAATTCATAAAGTCTAGGTACCAAAGAGGAAAGCTCATCAGAACAATTAGCATGAAAATATTTATAGAAAAGGCAGAGGGAAGCTATATTATGGCTTAAATTCATAAAGTCTAGGTACCAAAGAGGAAAAAATCATCAGAACAATTAGCATGAAAATATTTATAGAAAAGGCAGAGGGAAGCTATATTAGGCTTAAATTCATAAAGTCTAGGTATCAAAGAGGAAAAATTAGAACAATTAGCATGAAAATATTTATAGAAAAGGCAGAGGGAAGCTATATTATGGCTTAAATTCATAAAAGTCTAGGTACCAAAGAGGAAATTTTCATCAGAACAATTAGCATGAAAATATTTATAGAAAAGGCAGAGGGAAGCTATATTATGGCTTAAATTCATAAAGTCTAGGTACCAAAGAGGAAAGCTCATCAGAACAATTAGCATGAAAATATTTATAGAAAAGGCAGAGGGAAGCTATATTATGGCTTAAATTCATAAAGTCTAGGTACCAAAGAGGAAAGCTCATCAGAACAATTAGAATGAAAATATTTATAGAAAAGGCAGAGGGAAGCTATATTATGGTTTAAATTCATAAAGTCTAGGTACCAAAGAGGAAAGCTCATCAGAACAATTAGCATGAAAATATTTATAGAAAAGGCAGAGGGAAGCTATATTATGGCTTAAATTCATAAAGTCTAGGTACCAAAGAGGAAAGCATATCAGAACAATTAGCGTGAAAATATTTATAGAAAAGGCAGAGGGAAGATATATTATGGCTTAAATTCATAAAGTCTAGGTACCAAAGAGGAAAGCTCATCAGAACAATTAGAATGAAAATATTTATAGAAAAGGCAGAGGGGAATCTACATTACGGCGGCGAGAAAATAAATGAAGCCGAGATGCCAGGTGGGGACCAACAACTTTGCGGATTCTTCTTTGTATTTTATCAAGAATCTCTAAATATGTAGCAGAAGCACCAGGTCAGATGTGACAGCAATATTCAATCTATGGACCAATGATTACTCCTCACAATACATTTATTTAAAGATTAGGAAGGCAACCCCAGAAGTGCTTAATGAAGCGATTACAGAAGATAAGAAACGCCTGTTTTTCCCGAAGAAAAAAAAAAAATTGAAGAGGAAGATTTTATAAGTTTCAGATAACGGAAATTCTAACTGAATGCTGGTTATCCTCTCTATGAAAACTAATAATCTCGGTTGCCATTGTGGATGTTTTTTTTTCTTTCTCGATCCCAAAATCTTTCCCAAAGAGCCATTGCAAACTCGTGACAATAAACATAAGAAATCTAAGAAGTGACACGATTGACTACGCCCTGAAGAGACTAGACGTTAAGCTATATTCTCTTGGCGTCACTTTACGCTGGTGGCTTGTCTTCGATAAATTTAAATTATAATAAATTAGACTTTACAAGTAAGACCTTTTCCTATCTGAAATTACTGATGAATCTTAATTCTTCTGTTAATGATTGGGTAAGCTGATCGCGAGTTCTATGACAATAAAATATCCGTAGAAATTTCCTTATCACGTCGTTAAAATATTTGACATAATAACAATCGTAAATATGAATTCTTGTCGTTATTTTAAGAGGGAGCTAAAAATGAAGAGATTTGAATTTTTTTACGTTTCACTGTAACAGGCGTTAACACTTTTTTCTTTCTTTTATTCATATTTCTTGTTTTTCTGCGCAATCAAAACGGAATAGTCCATTATTTATGAGGTATTGTCAAGAGACGTTAAACCCCTCCATCTTTCTTTCTTTCTTTCTTTCTTTCTTTCTTTCTTTCTTTCTTTCATTTTTCTCACTGAAACCAATTAGTGTCTTTTCCGCTCTTTCCACGCAATCAAAATGGAATAGTCCATTATTTATGAGGTATTATTGGCAAGAGACGTGAAACACTTTTCTTTCTTTCTTTCTTTCTTTCTTTCTTTCTTTCTTTCTTTCTTTCTTTTTCTTTCTTTTCTTTTCTTTTCTTTCTTTCTTTCTTTTCGTCTTTATTTGTTTGTTTGTTTGTTTCTTTATCTCACTGAAACCAATTAGTGTCTTTTCTGCTCTTTCAACGCAATCAAAATGGAATAGTCCATTATTTATGAGGTATTATTGGCAAGAGACGTGAAACACTTTTCTTTCTTTCTTTCTTTCTTTCTTTCTTTCTTTCTTTCTTTCTTTCTTTCTTTCTTTTCGTCTTTATTTGTTTGTTTGTTTGTTTCTTTATCTCAGTGAAACCAAGTAGTGTCTTTTCTGCTCTTTCAACGCAATCAAAATGGAATAGTCCATTATTTATGAGATATTGGCAGGAAACGTTAAACAATTCTTTCTTTCTTTCTTTCTTTCTTTCTTTCTTTCTTTCTTTCTTTCTTTCTTTCTTTCTTTCTTTCTTTCTTTCTTTCTAGCCAAATCCCCGTCTTTGAAAGATCTCTCTTAATAATAATTTAAAAAATAATTCAGTAGACGATGTTATTTTATTTACGGTAACTGAATTTTTGGCGATTATCTCATCGGTTTTCGTTGCTCGATACTCTGCGTTGGAAAAAATGGCACTTTTATCGCGGTCGCCATTGGGCACTATTTACTATCCCTCCCAGTCTCTGTTCTGCCATGCAACGCATGATCGTTAGGCAGCTTACCGCCTGATTTCTTCTATCAATATAGCCTTCAATATGTCCTGTGAGTTTCAAATTCTCCGAGTCCTCTTTTCTCTTTATGTATCAATTAATTTGGGGTTATGTGATTTCAACAACCTCTTTCTGAGTATAAGCGTCCTTTTTTGCTTCCATTTTCTTAAAAAATTCCTGTTTACTTACATAATCCGCCCATGTCATTCTCAGCATCCTTCTGTAGAACAACATTTTTATTGCCTTCAGTCTTCACTTCGACTATGAGGAAATTGTTTTGCATTCACTGCTATATAGAAGGATTGATATTACATAACAGTTCAGCCCTTTTTCGTTTTATTCTCAGCATCCTTCTGTAGAACCACTGCTGTTAAACCTTTTTTAATTTCTTCCTTTCTTATCGCAATGAGTAATATCTGTTCGTATTAACCTGATTATCTCTCCATTTCTACTTTTCTTTCTTCCTTTCTTATTCTCACCGAAACCAAGTAATGCCTTTTCCCCCTCTTTCTACACGATCAGAACGCGGAATTGTCTGTTATTTATGAAGTTCTGGCAGGGCATAACGGTCGTGCTAACTAACAAAGGGATGGACAAATAGAATTATAAGAGGATATCAATATATAAATAAATTTGAATTCATAAACTATCATTCTACGAAGCGAAAATTTCTCTGTGTTGGAAAATTTCAGTTTTTTCATCTGAAATCCAAAAAAAAATATGAATTTCAAGTAAAATTCTCACAGATGTGCAAAAAAGGAGACAAGGGTAGGCTGCAAAGTTCATAGGCTGGCTATGAAGAAGCGATGCTAGAACTGTGAAATCATGCATGCATTCATTTCAACTCATCTTATTAATAACTGCATTGTTTCTTTCCATGTACAAGGGTGATTTGACCGTAAGCTTACGGTCAAATCACGCTGAAACACCGGTTCTCGTTCGATCACCGAATTTAAGCATCGTAGAGCCAGGTCAGTACTTAGATGGGGGACCGCTTGGGAACACCTGGTACTGTAAGCCCCCAAAGTCCAACCCTTACCTCACAGTCGGTGGGGGGTGTAAACGGTAGTGTCAGAGCTATGCCGCCCGGAACTTCGTTCCTGGTAGGGCCACCCAAGGCGGACAGGTCTGACACACACGCCGGCTAACAAGGGCTCTGGTGAAAATCCAAGGAGCGTCTGCATCGGTAACCGGCGGCTTCTGGTCGTTCCTGTCTCTGCGTCTGTGGGAATTCCGCGGCAAGCAAGAACGTTATCCGAGTAGGCCTGGGTACCCTACTTCTGTAATTTATCCCAAGAATCTTCTTCTCATAACAGGAAGAAGCCGGCTCAATCCGCCCAGGGTGATTGCCGCATCAGTACAGTACAGTACAGTATGTACAAGGGTGGGCTGAAAAGTTCATAGGCTGACTATGAAGGAGTGATGCTACAGTTGTGATGTTTTGCATCCATTTATTTCGACTCTTCTTATTAATAACTGCATTGTTTCTTTCCTGGTACGAGGGTGGACTGAAAAGTTCATAGGCTGACTATGAAAAAGCGATGCTAGAGCTTTGAAATTTTGCATGCATTCATTTCAACTCTTCTTATTAATAACTGCATTGTTTCTTTCCATGTACAATGATGAGCTGAAAAGTTCATAGACTGACTATGAAGGAGTGATGCTAGAGCCTTGAAAACTTACATGCATTAATATTCAAATGTAATGTCAATCGACATCTTCTGATGCCTTGATCCTTGTCTATATTTTTTCCTCAAACATCCTCTTTACTCCTGTCCTCACTTTCTATAACGCCTTGCGTGCTAGTGGCACTCACGCCTTTCTTGGGGTGATATGCTTAAAAAATACTGACGCCAGGCGAAAATGAATTAAAAATGTAACTTCGCTTTTTCCTGCTTTTGTGACACACCAGGGACGAGATTTTTTGTTTAGATATCTAGCCGTGGCAACGATCTCAAGGAGAAATGGATTTATGGTTAAATTTTATCAATCATTTTTTTTTCCTTTCCATGACGGACAATCTCTTTTAATTGGCAGTTCTCGTCTTGTTCTCTTACGCTTGTTTTC